AAGCGGGAGCCATCCAAGCGGCAAGACAGAGGAGGAGTCTGGCGGTAGGTGGAGGGAGTGCCATCAATTCCCATGACCGTGACAGTGGAGGGGTGGCTGGGGCCACTAAAGGAAGGCTCCTTTGGGTTGGGGCACTGCTTGGCTCAGTGGCCGTCGTTGCTGCACTTGAAGCAGGCACCAGGTGGCGCTTGGGTAGTACCTCCTTTCTGGGAGCTCCTGAAGCTGGCCAGCCTCAGGGCTGCTACCAAGGCCTGGGTTTGGAGTTGTACCTTCTGTTTTAGCCTGGCCTGTCGTTGGGCCTCAGCTGCTTCCTCCCTGGAGTTGTAGACCTTGAAGGCCAGTTTGACTAAATCCTGGATGGGAGTTTGAGGGCCGTCTTCCGCCTTTTTAAATTTTTTTTTGGATATCAGGGGCCAACTGCGAAACGAAATATGAGGCCAAGACGGTTCCTCCTGCAGGGGAGGCAGGGTCAAGGTGGGTGTACTGAATAAGTGCCTCAGTCAGCCGGCTAAGAAAAACGGCTGGATTTTCATCTGCACCTTGGGCTACCTCTTTTAGTTTGTTAAAGTTGACTGATTTGTTAGAGGCTGCCTGCGTGCCAGCAAGAAGGCACTGGAGCATCATATCTCGGTGGCGGCAGCCTGCCCGACCAACCTGCTAGTCCTAGTTGGGCTCGGCTGAGGGCACTGCCTCGGTGCCGACTGGCATGGCGTGGTCAGTTAAATGAACCTGGTCAGCGTGCTGCCTGGCTGCCACTAGGATATGCTCCCTTTCCTCAGGGGACAGGGTTGAGGTCATAACGACATGGGGATCATGCCAAGTGAGGTCATACGCCTGGCACAGGTATCTGAACTTTTTGAAATACTGAGTGGGGTTGGCCGAGAAAGAGCCTACACGCTCTTCAATCTTCACAGGTCTGCCAGTGAAAACAGCACATGGACCCGGACTACTCCTTTGGCACCTGCCACCTCTCGTAAGGGACACAGGAGGTCGGTCCTGGACCGAGTATGGGCTGAGACAGGTGAGGAAAGGGAGGAGGTGGAGGTAGGAGAGGCAGGATCTGTCACATTTGGTGGGGACACAAAAGGGGTAGAGGGAAGGGGTGGCGCTGACGAGGATGGGGACAACGAGGCGTTAGGGTAAGGAGGGGGTTGAGTGGAGGACCGAAGAGGAGGCAGGGAAAGAGCGTCAGGAGGCTCAGAGAAGGAGGAAGAGTTGTCCTTCTCCTTGGCTGAGGAAGTAGATTTCGCAAGCAGGACCTGGGCCAATGAACATCGGACACAGAGATCTGGGCGAGAACGCAAGTCCTAGAAGGCCTGAACGTAGGGTATCTCAGACCATTTGCCTAGTCTCTTACAGAAGTTGGTCAGACTTGCGAGAATGTTAAAGTCCAGAGTGCCTTCTGCAGGCTACTGAGACTGATTATCTAATTTATACTGTGGTCACGCCACTGTGCAGAAGAAAATGAGCCACTTTTGTTTTAGGTCTTGGCTGAGACTTAAAGTCTGGAAATCAGCCAAGAGGCACCTCAGAGGGGATTTTCAGTTTGGTTTGGACTGGGTAGTTCCCATGGTCTCAAGGCAGGCAGTCCAGAGGCAATGGGAGTGTCCTCTCACTGCCACGCGGAGTGCGGGGTACGGTGGCTTCCCGGGAGGTTGGACGTCTCCTAGTCCCCGGTGCCGAGGTCACAGCTAACCGGAGAGAGCCCCTGACGTGGTCACGTGTTTTGGACAGGGACTCCCGGAGGGAGCCTTCAGGACGGGGGGAAATTTACCCAGCAGTGATCGAATTGAGTCTTGGATTTGGTGAAATGGCTCCCGGCTCGGAAAGGAGGTCCTGGCTTGGGGAGAGGAGAGCCTGCCTGACCTGGCAGGGGTCCGGGGAGGGGGGCGGGTCTCCTCCCAGGTTTCGGCACCAAATGTAAGGGTAAACTGAGGCTGGAGCCAAACTGGGAACGAAGACACAAGGCAAATGGCAATGAGAATAGCCTTTTATTAGGGCTTGCGGGCGAGGTTCCTTGGTCCAAAGGCGTGGGCCGAGGAAGTTGCGCTGAGGGAGGAGGGTAGGGGCTTCTTATAGCCTGAGAGGTAGGGAAGCTGGTTGTGCAAACAGAGCCTGGGGGGTCTTGAAACTACTAGGGCAGGAGTTGAGTAAGGGTCATGAGGAAGGGGTCTTTGGAAACTGTCAACTGAAACTGCTGTTTACAAACTTGTGGAATGCAAGTGAGCTGCAGGTCATGGGGGAGTGTGACTGCCCAGCTGGAACCTCTGATATATGTAAGTCTGAGGGTGTGTTCAAAGAGGGAGGGAAGTCTCGAAACACAGGGCCTGCTCGAACAAAGGGCCTGCTACGCCGAGTGGCGCCGCCATGTCGGGTCTGGGTCCCTGCCTAACAGTCAGGAACTGGGGGCAGAGAACAAATATATATTTCTTATGTAAACCAAAAAGTATGTGAGACAGGTCTCAATCAATTTAGTGGTTTATTTTGCCAAACTTAAGGACCATGGTCTGTGACACAGCCTCAGGGAGTCTTGAGAACATGTGCCCAAGGTTACAACTTGGTTTTATACATTGTAGGGAGACAGAAGTTACAGGCAAAGACATGAATCAGTATATATAATGTTCAGCCTGGAAAGCGGGACATCTCTAGGTGGGCGTGAGAGAGATTTTAGGTCATAGGTGGATTCAAAGATTTCCTGATTGGCAATTTGTTGAAAGAGGTAAGCCCTGACTAAAGAGTTGAATTCAACATAAAGAAATGCTTGAGTTTAGTTAGATAAGGGGGTTGTGGAAGCCAAGGTTCTTGTCATGTAGATGAAACCTCCAGGTAACAGGCCTCAGAGGGAATAGGTGGTAAATGTCTCTTATCAGACCTTAAAAGGTGTCATGCTCTCTGGAGAAGACCTAGTATGGGAAGGAGATTCCCTACAGAACGCAAATTTAGTTTACAGGAGGCAGCTTTACAGGGCCATTTCAGAATATGGAATGTCAAACAAAAAAATTTTAGGGGAAAATACTTTGATTTTCTTCAGGGCCTGCAATAAAATACCAAACTCTAACGTAACTCTTCGCATAGCATCACATGATGTTGTTTGGAATTTGGTATTTTATTGCTATGAAGAGTCTGTTTTGTCAGTCTTACGATCTCTGTTTTAATGTTAACATCAGTCAGTTGTGTCTAAACTCCGAAGTGTAGAGTGCAGAAAAGCCCAGCATGTCCAATCCATAATGAGACATGTCTGACCCCTCCCTTTCAGTCATGGCCTAAACTAATTTTTCAGTTTTCTTTGGGGTCTACTTGGCTAAGAGGTGGGTCCATTTAATCGGTTGGGGGGCTTAGAATTTTATTTTTGGTACCCTTGTTATATCAGAGATCCTTTCAGTCTTTTATGACCATTTGACTTGGTGGGTGGATATAACCCCAGAGGATGGGAATAGGAAGATTTCTTGGCTTATAGGCTACCTTTACGTGTAAGTGTGTAAATGAAGGAGTCCTCCTTGGGATCTGTGTTAACTTATTGGGGACATAATTTGGAATTTGAAATTAGAGTTTTTTAAAAAACAGAATGTGAATAGGTACTCCTGTTCACATTTTTTCCTGTAGACTTTGCAAAAAGGGATAGCATGGCAAGACAGATGGGTTCCTGCTATCTCTCAATCTTTTTGCCTTCGGTATGATGGCAGAGCAAGCGAGTATATGGACAGGGCCACTGGATCTGGAAGACAAAGCCCTGTGTGGAGAAAACGATGCCCCTGTGGTGAGGCAGGCTTCTTGTTTCTTCTGCAAGCACAACTGCAGTCCCAGAGAGTGACAGCCTATCTTTAGCAAGTAGGATCTGGAGTTACTGTGGTATTTGGAGAGCCAGCCAGTCTGCCACAGTTGCCTCAGGCTGCATGAATAATTTCTCTACAAAAAATGGCAACACTTTTCCATCATAACTGCAGTTTTTGGTGTCTGATGCTGGAATTCATTTCTAAAGTCAGAGTACTATCACATTAAAATGAGCAAATCTCCAGACACTGATTTTTAGCTGCTGATTTTTTGATTGTATAGTGTTTACTTCTTTTCGCTTCAGGGGAAAGAAAGTGGACACATCTCTAAGCCTTAAATAACAGTCATGAATATTTCACCGTGTGACCACAGTGGTATGATGGAGGGCGTCCAAGGAACAGAGGGAAGGAAGGAGAGTGTTACTGTACAGGGAATATGTTGTCATTTGAAATTAAGGTTGGGACATCTCAGTGAAATCATTAAAACCTAGAAACTAAAATGAAAATAAAGACCTGTACTCAAAACACTGGCTTAAGGAATTGGGTTGCTTGGAGGCAGAGAGAGAATTAGCCAATGAGTAAAAACTATGGCATTTGAATTATGAAGAGAAAAAGTACAAATTGGGTTTTATAAAGAGATCACTAGAAACTTGAAGAGAGAAGAGGATCAACTTTAAAAGCAAACTGTAGGGGAATTGGAAAAGGAAATTTTAAAATTTAAAATATTTAAACAGGCCATTACAAAGATAAAAGGCTTTTGGGAAGACTTAGGGCCTAGGACTTCTCCTCATGTGAAGCCTCTCATATCTCTAGGACACCACATAGGGCAGAGTCTTACTATGAGGCTTTTTCTCCTGAACACCCCTTCACAGTCCCTGGTAAGCTAGATTGGGACATACGAGAACTCCTTTCTCTTAGGCCAATTGCCTCCTTTGTCCATTTCCTCCTCACTGTTTCATTTGTAGTAAAAAACAGTCTTAAACTGAATGCTTTAAAATTATAACTAAAAAGTCTTTAAATACAAATCTTAAGATTGTGCTGATAGAAATTTGCTAAGCAAATCAATTCTGTGAGTACAAAAACAATTGCATCAAGTTTCTGTATTTAACATTAGCCGTGGCCAATATTGTGTTGCATAGAAAAATGTCAATCCAAATGAAAGAATTAACTTCAAGTTAGAAAATAATATGAATTCACAATTCTTCTCCCTTCTTATTTAAAACCATGCAGGTAATATATGCTTTAAACACTAAAAATGATGAGCATGAATCTGCAATTCAAGCCCTCAAAGATGCTCATGAAGAAGAAATTCAACAAATTCTTGCAGAAACAAGAGAAAAAATATTGCAGTATAAAAGCAAAGTAACAGAGGAGCTAGACCTTAGAAGAAAGATTCAAGTTTTAGAAGCATCATTAGAAGATCACATAAAAATGAAGCAGCAGGCTTTGACAGAATTTGAAGCTTATAAGCACAGAGTTGAGGACATGCAACTTTGTGCAGAAGCCCAGCATGTGCAACGCATAGTGACCATGTCTAGAGAAGTCGAAGAGATTAGAAGGAAATTTGAAGAAAAATTACGGAGCTTTGGACAGCTTCAGGTACAGTTTGAAAAAGACAAACGATTGGCATTGGAAGACCTGCGGACTGCTCACAGACGGGAGATACAAGAGTTATTGAAGTCACAGCAGGATCACAGTGCCTCAGTAAATAAAGGGCAGGAGAAGGCAGAGGAACTACACAGAATGGAGGTGGAGTCCTTAAACAAAACGCTTGAGGAGCTAAGACTTGAACAGAAGAAACTAATTGAGGATTATGAAGGCAAGTTGAATAAAGCTCAGTCCTTTTATGAGCGTGAGCTTGACACTTTGAAAAGGTCACAGCTTTTTACAGCAGAAAGCCTCCAGGCCAGCAAAGAAAAGGAAGCTGATCTTAGAAAAGAATTTCAGGGACAAGAAGCAATTTTACGAAAAACCATAGGAAAATTAAAGACAGAGTTACAGATGGTACAGGATGAAGCTGGAAGTCTTCTTGACAAATGCCAAAAGCTTCAGACGGCACTTGCCACAGCAGAGAACAATGTTCAGGTAAGTAAAGAATATTATATTCAACACATGGATTTTTTTTTTCTTTTAAATATATATATTTTGTAGGCTAGAGAGGAGCAGTCTGGCCCACTTAGAATCAGTGGCTTCACACCACTTAGACTTTTTTTTTTTTAACTTTCCTGCTTTTTCTCTGTGAGAAAAATCAATGACAGGATAATTTATATTACCCTGTAGTTGTTATTTCAGAATGTCAGATATTAGGGGCCCAAAAAGACAAGCTTAAAACCTTGTTAATTATTGACTGGGCACAGTGGTACACACCTGTAATCCCAGCACTTTGGGGGGTCCAGGCAGGAGGATCGCGTCAGGCCAGGTGTTAGAAACCAGCCTGGGTGAGTGAGCTTAGCGAGATAATACCGTTTCTGGGGGAAAATATTGCTAATTATTTACAAAAGGATTTTAATATTGGGCTTAAAGTTTAAATGCATTTTTTTTCTTTTCCTTTCTCTAATAATGGTTTGTCTACTAGCTGATATTTAGACACTGATCGAGAAATTTTTCAAACTGTACTTGAAGCTGTCCAAAGCTCCGCAGTTTTTCTTCAAATTCCCTTCTAATCTCTTCGACTTCTCTAGACATGGTCACTATGCGTTGGACATGCTGGGCTTCTGCACAAAGTTGCATGTCCTCAACTCAATTAGAAAGTAATTCAGGTTACTTTCTAAACCTGAATTTAATAGGGGTATTGCACAAGTCTGGGGGCAAAAATGCTGGAAGTCCACAAGTTTTGTTTTGTTGGCTTAGAAAATTTCGTAGCCATGTTTTTAATATCTGTGCAACATTAGAATGGATTAGAAAGTGTAGAATAGCCTTTTCTGATTGGGTCATGTGGCTTATGAAAATATCAAGTTATAAGTCACCAATATTTACAGATTTAAAAATTGGTATATACTTTAGTATGACTTCTAATAGGAGAAAACTGACCCTTATAATTTAAATGAATTAGTATTATTCCTGCATTTTAATAATGGCTATTTAATCTTTCTTAGGGTCTTCAAAAACAGCTTGATGATGCCAAGGAGGGAGAAATGGTCCTATTAAGCAAGCACAAAGAAGTGGAAAGTGAGCTAGCAGCTGCCAGAGAACGTTTACAACAGCAAGCTTCAGATCTTGTCCTCAAAGCTAGTATGTCTGACCACAGTTTTTGATGTAATGCTTAGCTAAAACCAACACAACACTTTTTTTTTTTTTTTGAGACAGAGTCTTGCTCTGTCACCTGGACTGGAGTGCAGTGGCGCAATCTCGGCTCACTGCAACCTCTGTCTCCTGGATTCAAGCAGGTCTCCTGCCTCAGCCTTGAGTAGCTGGGACTACAGGCACACGCTGCCACGCCTGGCTAATTTTTTTGTATTTTTAGTAGAGATGGAGTTTCGCTATGTTGCCCAGTCTGGTCTCGAACTCCTGAGCTCAGGCAATACCCCCGCCTCGGCCTCCCAGAGTGCTGGGATTACAGGCATGAGCCACCATGTCCGGCCCCAACACTTAAATGTTAATTTAAGGTAGCATTTGTTTTTTCTTCTAATATTTTAAAACTACTTAAACTGTAAATATGTTAAAGGACTCAATATCTTACTAATTACTTATAAGATACACAATAACTTTTTTTATTTTTAGGAATATATTTTTATAGAAAACTTGAGAGTTAGCAAGTAAAATACCAATAAGTTAGTCACTGAAAGAAAAACAGGCTGGGCGTGGTGGCTTACACCTGTAATCCCAGTGCTTTGGGAGGCCAAGGTGGGCAGATCACTTGCGGCCAGAAGTTGGAGACCAGCCTGGCCAACATGGCAAAACCCCATCTCTACTAAAAATAACAAAAATTAGCTGGGCATAGTGGTGCATGCTTGTAATTCCAGCTACTTAGGAGGCTGAGGCATGAGAATAACTTGAACCTGGTGGCAGAGGTTGCAGTGAGCCGAGATTGTGCCAGTGTACTTCAGCCTGAGCAACAGAGCAAGAGTATATCAAAAAAAAAAAAAAAGAAAAGAAAGAAAAATGAAGCACACTTTTCAAGAGGTGTTGTCCTTTAAAAACATACATTTTATTGTCTGGGCGCGGTGGCTCACACCTGTAATCCCAGCAGTTTGGGAGGCCGAGGTCGGCGGATCACAAGATCAGGAGATCAAAACCATCCTGGCTAACATGGTGAAACCGCGTCTCTACTAAAAATACAAAAAAATTAGCCGGGCGTTGTGGTGGGCGCTTGTAGTCCCAGCTACTCGGGAGGCTGAGGCAGGAGAATAGCGTGAACCTGGGAGGCGGCAGAGCTTGCAGTGAGCGGAGATCACACCACCGCACTCCAGCCTGGGTGACAGAGCGAGACTCCGTTCCAAAAAAAAAAAATATATATATATATATATACACACACACACTTATATATATATTTATTTATTTTATTTATTTTTTTGAGACAAAGTCTTGTTCTGTCGCCTAGGCTGGAGTGCAGTGGCATGAAAACAACTCACTGTAGCCTGGACCTCCTGGGCTCAAGTGATCCTCCCACTTCAGCTTCCTGAGTAGCTGGGACCACAGACATGCGCAACCTTGGCTGGCTAATTTTTTAATTTTTTGTAAAGACGGGGTCTTGCCATGTTGCCTAGAGTGGTCTCAAACTCCTGGGCTCTAGCAGTCCTCCCACCTTGGCCTCCCAAAGTGCTGAGATTTCAGGTATGAGTCACCATGCCAGCATTTGTTTAGTTTTTAGAGATGGGATCTTGCTCTGTTGCTCAGGCTAGAGTGCAGTAGCATGATCATAGCTCACTGCAGCCTCAAACTCCTGGGCTTAAGTAGTTCTCTCGCCTTAGCCTCCCCAGTAGCTGGGACTCTAGGTATGCCACGGGCTAACTTTTTTAAAGATGAGGCCTCACTGAAAAAAATATACGTTTTAAAGAGTTTAAATTAATTGAACTATATGTAAATTATAGCAGTTCATTTCTTAGGGCTTGTTACTAAGGTTCATTTTTATACACTAAAGCTGACTTGCGTATTTCTTGAGTGGCTGGTATGCTGTTTCACAGCCATTACTGGAGGAGGTGGGTGACTTGTGTCAGTTCTGAAGTTATATTTTGTCTAAGTGTTTAGTGTGCCCAGGAAGGCTGTTTGAGCTGGTTCTTTGAGGATCTCGTTTGATTTTGATTGGCTTATCAGTGAATCTCAGATTTTCCTTCCTCTAAAACAGTTGTTTTTAATAACCTTTAGTGCACATTGGAATGACCTGAAGGGTTTGTGAAACTACAGATGCTGGGCCCCACCCTCAGAGTTTCTGATTCAGTAGGTCTGGGGTGGGTCACATTTCTAACCAGAGTTCCCAGGTGATGCAGGTGATGCTGGTCCCGGGTACTTTGAGGACCTCTGCCTTAAACTATCCTTTCTATGAGACCTTTTTCTTCACTCACTCTTCATCTCTCTGTCTCTCTCCTGGATTTTTCTCCACGTTCCCTGCTTTTTGCTGTCATTTAAAAGATTCTTTCATAACCTTGCTGTCTTTATCTGTGTCTTATACCACCTTAGTTTTTGGTTGGTTGGTTGTTTTTATTTGGAGACGAGGTCTTGCCATGTTGCAGGCCATAGTGCAGTGACTGTTACAGGTGCAGTCATAGTTCACTGCAACCTTGAACTCCTGGGCTCAAACAATCCTCCCACCTCAGCCTCCCAAGTAGCTGGGATTACAGGCTCCACTTTAGGTCTTTATCTGGCCTCTTGCCTGAAACAAATTCAGTTTCAACCAAACTGCTATCTGCCATCTTTGTTTCCTACATACAGATTTTTTCCTCTTTATGTTAGAATTTAAAAATAAAGAGATTAGAAAAGAACAAATCACTCATTTGACCCCACAGTATCAGTCAGTGCATCCTCTCCCTCCTTCTTTTATTCCCAGGAGACTTTCTCATGAAGCCCCGAGGAGTTGCGCCTATTTCAACCTGTTTAGCCTGCAGTCTTCAAAAAAAAAAGCAGTAAAACGGTGCGAGGTGCAGGAAGCAACATTAATCATGTGAAAATGGCATTTTAATTTATTCTAATATGCTAATAAGTATTTTCATATACGTATTTCCATTTTATGTTGTGAAGAAACAAAAGGAAAATTTGTACATATAGACCGTTTATTTTACTTAAGTATAAAGTACAGTTGTGTTATTAAATATAAACTGTTTATCTCATAGTACAACTGATTTTTAAATTGAAGGGATTTTCTTTTGGGGGGATAGGTCATATTGGAATGCTTCAAGCAACTCAAATGACCCAAGAAGTTACGATTAAAGATTTAGAATCAGAAAAATCAAGAGCCAATGAGAGATTATCTCAACTTGAAGAGGAAAGAGCTTTTTTGCAAAGCAAAACCCAAAGTCTGGATGAAGAGCAGAAGCAACAGATTCTAGAACTGGAGAAGGTAAAAAGTAATGGACACTCCATTCCCCCCCAAAAGAGTTCAATTTTCCTCTTTTTCAGATTTGAAGTATTTGGAGTATTCCTTGCTATTTCCTATTTTAGTGGTTATTTTTGGTTCTAATTTTGAGGAAATGGGTATACAGCTAGACTATCCTATACTGTGTGTATGTTCAAAATATGTGGATAACAATCTATATAATAGAAAAACTTAAGACTTTTCAACCTATTTCAAGCCAGAAATTGAATAAACTCTTATTTCAGTGGAGTATATACTTACAGTTAATCATGTTTGTTTTCTATTAATGAAATATATTACTGCATATACACATAGGAAATTTCTGTAGAACTGAAAATATGACAAGCTTCAAGCTCTGAAAATGTATACCAACATATTGAATTTCTAGTTTAACAAGTGAGACATCATTTATAGAGTAATTGCTGAATATATATTCCAGTTTTTCAGATGCCCATAATACCAAGTGGGAGTTTTTGGACATCCTCTTCTTTTTCTTTCCCTCAACGTCTAAGTATTTTGAAAATGTCTATTCTCTTTGCTCTTTACTTACTTCCATTAATTCCTTAACCTGGTGCAGTCCTCTCTGACCATCAGTCCACAGAATTTGCTTTTGCCTCAGCCCTCAGTGACATCCTGATTGGTGGACTTGGTGGATCATATCTTACCATGGTACCTACTAACCACTGATTTACAATCTCTCATCTCTTATTTCACATTCTTTCACATTTTTCTCCTACCTCCTTGGCCTTACAGTCTTCTTTGTGAACTTCCCTCCTCCATCTGTTCCCTTACCATTGATTTTCCAGTATTTTCATCTCATTCTATGTACTCATTCATTCCAGTAACATCAACTGTCACTTATTCAGGGATAGCTTCTAAATCTTTAGGTCCAGACCAGACATTTTCTCTGAATTTAAGTCCTTATATCCTTTCCACTAGATATCTCCATTTATGTTTTTCACAAACATCAAGTTACCATGTCTAGAACTTTCTTCTTTCAAAAGTACTAAGTTTCTTTTACTCCTTATTTCAACCAGTAGCACCACCGTCTATCTAGTTGCTAAATAAAAAACCTGAAAGTCATTCTTGATTACTGTTTTCTCAACCCCTTTATCTGTTACAGAGTCCTGTTGGTTCTACTCCCTTAATATATTTTTATTCCATCCTCCCCGCTCATACCCATTTATAGATCTGAAGTTTAGGCACGTGTTAATTGCTTGCCTGGACAACTGTCTAGCAGCAATCTCTGATTTCAGTTGGCTCACCAGCCTGCTTCCAAGATGATTGTTTTAAAAAGTATATCATTTACTTAAACTTCAGTGATTTATCAGTCCCTTCAGAAGAAAATTCAGAGTTCTTAGTGTAAAAGACCCCTTCTCATTATTTTATTCCTGCCTACTTCTGAGCCCCGTCTGTCACCATTTTATCACCTTGTGTCCTGTGTTCTATCCAGACTGCTTAGCTGCACTGACTTTCTGTCTCCCTAAACTTTGCCATCTGGTTAGCTACTTATCATCTTTCCAGTGCTGCACAACAGTAGAATGGTTATGAATGTAGGCTTTTGACACCAGACCTAGGCTTGACATTTTCTTATCATTAATCTCCTCTGGGCTTGTTGTAAGAGTTAAATGAGAAATGTCATCACCAGCTCAGACGCTTTCTCTTCTGAAAAGCCTTCCCTGATACCTCTCTGTCTCTGTCTTTGTCTCTCTCTCTCTCTGACACACACACACACACACACACACACACACACACGCTTTCCCACCCCATCCAAGTTAGACACCCTTCTAATATACTCTTATAACACAGGATATACACATCTGCTTTAGTTCGTTTTGCATTGCTGTAAGGGAATACCTGAGACTGGGTAATTCATAAAGAGAAGAGGGATATTTGGCTTGCAGTTCTGCAGGCTGTGCATGAAATGTAGTACTGGCATCTGCTTCTGGTGAGGCCTCAGGCAGCTTACAATCATGGTGGAAGGAGAAGGGGAGCCAGCATGTTGCAGGACAAGAGAGGGAGCAAGAAAGAGGAAGGAGGTGCCAGTCTCCTTTAAACAACCAGATCTCACATGAACTCATAGAGTGAGAGCTCACTCATCATTGCAAGGACAGCACCAAGCTATTCATATGGGATTCACCCCCATGATCCAGACACCTCCCACTAGTCACACTTCCAACATTGGAGGTCACATTTCAACATGAGATTTGGTGGGGACAAAAAAATGCAAACCTGTGTCAACATCCCTTTTTCATAGAACTTATAAAACTATATTGCCACAGTCTTTTGACTTTTTTTCATTATTAGAACTGTGAATGCCCAAAAGGTACTTGATTGGCATTCAAAATTATATTGAGTGATATCCTTTGAGTGGGTTAACTGGTAAGCCATTTTGTATACTATTTTGACATAAAAGGAAGCCCTTTACTCTTAAGCTTGCAGATGTATTAACTCACATTTGGTCTAATATAATAATAGTCTATTTTATCTCTTGCTTTAAAATTTTTGATTTTGTGTGGGCTCACCTGTCACTTTCTGAGAACACTAATGATTTATTCTCATGTTTCGTAGTCTGGATCCCACAGCACTCAGTTTATTCAAGCTTCCATATTTATAGGGTATTCAAATTACCCTAATAGCAGTAATGAAAAAAGCAGGTACCAGTTATTGATCTTTGTCTGTTTTAATTTTAGAAAGTAAGTGAAGCAAAGAGAACTCAGCAAGAATATTATGAAAGGGAACTTAAAAACCTGCAAAATAGATTGGAAGAGGAGGTGACTCAATTAAATGAGGCCCATTCTAAGACTTTGGAAGAATTAGCTTGGAAGCACCATATGGCAATTGAAGCTTTCCACAGTAATGCAGTTAGGGATAAGAAAAAACTGCAAATGGTGAGTAAAAATTTAGTTTATCATTGCATTGTAAATTGATGAGATTTCTGTAATAGTCCAGTGTGACCTATATTGTAGAGCAATGATTTGCTTCTTTTTTTTTGAGACAGAGTCTTGCTTTGTCTCTGAGGCTGGAGTGCAGTGCAGTGGCGCAGTCTCGGCTCATTGCAACCTCCGCCTCCCAGGTTCAAACAACTCTCCTGCCTCAGCCTCCTGAGTAGCTGGGACTACAGGTGCATGCCAGTACACCTGGCTAATTTTTGTATTTTTAGTACAAACAGGGTTTCACCATGTTGGCCAGGCTGGTCTCGAACTCCTGACCTCAAGTGATCCTCCTGCCTCAGCCTCACAAAGTGCTGGAATTACAAGCGTGAGCTACTGCACTCAGCTGATTTCCTTCATTTTGATGACTGCTGTCTTGTAATCATTCTTGAAGTCATGGTTCAAAGAGTAACATACCTGATCTTGATATGGGATATAGCTTATTGAATTGATATGAGACATTGCTACTGCATATAAGCCATAATAGAAACACTGTTTTTGTTCTTGAACTGTCTCTTCATGAGACAGTCTAATAGGTGTGCTCTTCAGGAAGGCTCAACTAGTTGAAAGTAGATATTCTCTTGTAGTTAGTTTTCTTCCTTGAGAAAATGATTTATGTTTTATTTTGTTTGTTTCTTCCTCAATTAAGTATTCAGCTTGCTAATAGTAATATATGACAGACAGAATTGCAGAGTAGGAAAAGCAAAGTATCTGACAGACCTTGGCCTTACACTGAGCTCTTTGCTTATTAGCTGTATTACTTTGGGCCCCAAAAGCTATGCCTCAGGCTCCTCATCTGACAGAAGATATGATCCATCTTAAAATGTTCCTTTGAGGATTAAGTCAGATAAAGTGTTGAGTACCGAGCCATGTTCTAGCACATGATGATAAAAGTTAGTTATTAGTACTTCTTACTATATACAGTACTGTTTTGCATCTTTTAAAAAATTTAACTCTTATGACACATTATTGGTTTGATTTCTGTACTCATTTTACTGAAGAGGGGATGTGCTCAAGCACATGCAACCGGTAAGACTCCAGCCTCGAACTCAGGTTCCAGATCTGTCAAACCCCAGGCATCTAAATACCATCATGTAGGCATTTAGTAATGATGGTTGTTATATATTTCACAAATGGTACTTTACAGTTTACAAAGAGCTTTCTCATATGTACCTTAATACTTATGACTTGGAGATTAAAGTTATTTTTATTATATAGATGGTAAAATAGGTTACATAAACCTTGATGATTTCCTCAGAGCCACAACGCTATTAAGAAGAGATAGGATATGAATTGACATCTGCCTCAGTGTACTTTCCTTTTGTGACATGACTAGCTGGGAAAAATATTTAAGACCTAAACTTAATTTAAAATTCAAATAAAACTTCCTGTTAGAATGTTATTTCTTTCTTAACTTATTACTATATGTTTATGTAGCCAGAGACAAAAGTTAATGACACATTATTTCTCAAGACTCTGATGGTAGTATTCTGTGTGCCAGGTCACTATTCCGGAACCAGTTTGCACAGCATTAGTTATATGAGGCATGTACATGCTTAGCAATTCTGGTTGCCTGTATCACATGTTCAGAGTTTTACAGAAAAGTGTTCTGTGGTAACTGCTTCTTCTGTACTCTCTTTCCTAGCTATCTTTTGGTATTATTTTTCATTTCTACATTCATTTTCACCTTAACCACCTTCTTTCTTATTGGAATAAATTGCGTATGTCCTGCCTTTAGCCTTCATTCCTCTCAATTAAGTTATAAGTGCTAGAATCAAGGCATCTTTCACCAATGTCGTTTTTACCTCATTACTTTACTCCTCATTATCCCTTCACCTGATTAAATTTTAATTTTCTAGCACCTGCCTTAAACTACTTAAATTTCTTAAAGTCTTTCTTTAAAATATGGTTGCCATAAGACAGATGACATGAAATTTCTGATATGTGAACATATTCACCACCCTATTGCAGCCTTATTTCTACCCATCTTTTTGTTTTTATCAGAGTAACTTGTATATCACTTGCTCTTTCTTCCTCTCTTGCCTGTCTACCTCATGTCTGAACCTAAGCTGAAACCAGCCTCCTTCCAGAATAGTCTTCCTCCAGTATCAGATTCTCTCTTAAGGAACATTTAGGTGAAGATGACTTCTCTTTTCTTATTATTCAGTTATCAAAAAGGGTTGTATTGCCCTTAACTGTAGTTGACCCACCACAACTGAGAGTGAATGTACAGAGAACCCATGCAGAAAACTGTTAACATAGGAGACTTGAGGCTACCATCCTTAAAAAGGCAAGTTGGCCCTTGGCTGGCATCTGGGAAGTTGGATTTCTGGAGGGACCCCCCCATTCCCTAATAAGAATGACTGACTGGCCTAAGCTGTGGCCTAACCACGCAAACAGTGTGGTTTATGCTGAACACCTGCTTTCCTTCTGGGAATCTGGAATTTTGACATGTGACAGGAAGATGGTACCTGTATGATCAGTCGCCGATAAAAAACCTGTGTACTAAGTCTCTCATGAGCTTTCCTAGTAGACAACATTTCATACAAGTTGTCACAGGTTGCTGGAAGTATTCAGCCTGTCTTGTATAAGGACAACATTTCACACAAGTTGTCACAGGTGTCTGGAGGTATTAAGCGTGTCCTGTGTGAGAGGGCTCTTGGAAACTTTGTATCTGTTTCTGGCAGACTTCACCCCATGTGCCTTCTTCCTTTGTGGTGTGTGCTTTGAGTCCTGTACTGTAATCACAGCCATGAGTGTGACTATACCCGTGAATGTAAATCATCAAACTCGGGTTTGTTTTGGGGTCCTCTGACACTGAACCTTATTTATTCTTCTTCTCATTTTACACTGTAGAAATATTGAACTGCTTCCAAGTCTTTGCTATTGTGAATAGTGCCGCAATAAACATACGTGTGCATGTGTCTTTATAGCAGCATGATTTATAATCCTTTGGGTATATACCCAGTAGACACAGACTGGATTAAGAAAATGTGGCACATATACACCATGGAATACTATGCAGCCATAAAAAAGGATGAGTTTGTGTCCTTTGTAGGGACATGGATGCAGCTGGAAACCATCATTCTTAGCAAACTATCACAAGAACAGAAAACCAAACACCGCATGTTCTCACTCATAGGTGGGAACTGAACAATGAGATCACTCGGACTCGGGAAGGGGAACATCACACACCGGGGCCTATCATGGGGGCGGGGGGGAGGGATTGCATTGTGAGTTATACCTGATGTAAATGACGAGTTGATGGGTGCTGACGAGTTGATGGGTGCGGCACAGCAACATGGCACAAGTATACATATGTAACAAACCTGCACGTTGTGCACATGTACCCTAGAACTTAAAGTATAAAAATAATAAAATAAAAAAAAGAAATATTGAACTGCATATAGCATACTCTGCTCTTTTGTGCCTTCATGGTGGTTAGCACATGCTTTTTCCCATGCCCAGAATGCGATGTTCCCCTCCTGCTCCATCGCCTTTTCTTCCTTCAAACCATGCTTAAGGATTGCTTTCTCTCTAAAGGTTTCCCTGCCAACCTAGACATTATTAGTCCCCCTTCCATATACTCCCATACTCCCTATGCATGTCTAATTTAGTTAATGTTATTTAATTGCTTGATACCATGAGCTTATTAAGGGCAGGCTCCATATCTTATTGCCTTTGTTACCCAAGTGTTAAGTAGCGTGCCTGGCAAATAGTAAGTGGTCTTCAGTAATTATCAGTTTTACCCGTTTTGCTCTTTCATTTGCCTTCATTTTGTACTTGCTCATTCTCTACTATGTTCCAGCGCTAGACCACTGATTTGTAGAAGTGTTACTGGATTTCATTTTTTATGTGAACATAAAAGAATTTGAGGGAAAAATTTTTTTGAATTTAAGACCTAATTAGAATTTTGTATCTCACATTTTCTGTTTTTTGACTTCAGCTTGATCTAGTCCAGTCACATGCTCTCACCATTTAAAAACTTATAACTACATTGTAAATGAGTCAGAATGATAGAATCTAAGCCACTATGGGTGTCACTGTTAACTCAGATGTTGTTAATTAAGGGTAAGGCCAATTTGAAGAGCAAAGTTTCAAAATACAAAACAGAATAGTCTTGTTCTTGGAGTCTTCGAAGTATATAATACTTGCAATTTTGTAATTTTTTAAAAATTTCTTTTTCTAAGGAATTGGAAGAACAACATAACAAAGAGAAACTAAACCTAGAAGAGGATAAAAATCAGCTTCAACAAGAGCTAGAAAACCTAAAGGAAGTACTGGAAGACAAGCTGAATACAGCCAATCAAGAGGCAAGAATTCTTTAGACCTGTTGCCTATGTTATAGATATTAATAATAATAACTTATTCTGGTGACGTTGTATAGGTAGGTGAGTCTCATGAAGGTAAAATATCTAGAATAAAAATAATTTTAAAACTTTAATTGATGTTGAATTTTTCATGACACTCTGGTTATGTTCCACCAGTTAAAATTTACTGTCAAAAACATTAAGGTGCTGTTGTGGGGAGAAGCAAAACAAAATATCACCACATAGGAAAAGAACAAAAGAGAGTTCTCTGCCCTTTTGCCAAAAAATAGCTTATTATTCTCTATACTGCCTCTTTTTCTACAATTTCAACAGAAACTGAGGATGGTAGCTAGAATCAATAGGTTTAATCTGAATTACAGTCTGTGACATTGCTCTTTTAAGACTAGATATAAATGAAAGAGGAGAAAAGAGGGAAGTTACAGCTCTTCTTCAACCTCATATCAGCAAAGTTCCAGGTGGGTTAAGGATTGGACTATAATATGAAAATCATGGATATGAATATAAATAAAATATGAAAACAAAAATAACAAACCTGAGGACAAAGAAAGCTTTTTGATCATGATAACAAAGTTATGAATCAAAACATAGAATATTTGTACAGTTAAAGCTAAAACTTCTTTATATCAAAACACACCATAAGCAAAATTTAGAAAGAGGAAAAACTGGGAGAGATGAAGTAAGAGATTGACAGATTGACCAACAAAGAATTCATGTCTTTAACACTTTAAGAGTATTTACAAAACAGTAAGAAAAATACAGACACCCAGATTATCTTTTTACAAGCTAAAGATGAACATGAAAAAAAAATTGTTTCGTATAATTTAAGAACTGGAAATGAAATCAATGCGATGCCATTCCATTACCATAAAATTAACGATGATAAAAAAAATTGAGACCATGCATTGTTAATAAGGGTAAAGAAATAAGCACTCAGAAACTGCTGATGGGGATACAAAATTGTATAATTTTCCTGGAAAGGGATTTATTGGCACATAGAAAGCCTTAAAGAAAGGCTTTAATGCAACAATTTCATTTTTGTGTATTTAACCTACACAGATAATTATGGATTGCTGACAAAATTTCAGCACTGTTTGTAGTAGAAGAAGTATAGAAAAACTTAAATTTTCTCAGAAGTCTGTCTGCCTAGAATAAAGGGAGTCTTTTCCTAGTTCACACAAGTTTTGTTTGCTTCTCTTTCCATGTTCTGGGACTGCTTCCACGCTGAGGGGTATTGCCTTTTTCCTGCTTAGAGGCACACATGGCCTAGCAACTGCCTTGGTACAATCCAAGGTCAAGAAAATGAAGGCATTTAGGGTCCTTCTAGGAGTTAAATACCTTCATTCCAAGATGTTAGAGATTTTATTCTTAATTGCTAGTAAGTATATATGAATTTTTTCTGTAATTGACTCATTCATTCATTTATTTAATAAATATTGAGTGGTTATTAGGTACCAAAGCACTGTTACACGCTGTGGTTTCAGTGATAAGTCAGTCAGAAATGGTGCCCACTACTATGGAGAGACAGACACAAAAACAAGTAAATACAAGTTTGATGCATATTACAAAGGGTGGTAAGTAATTAACAAGGGCTTGTCAAAATAATAAATTTAGGAAAGCTTATGCAAAGACCCTGAGGCATGAGAAATCTCTAGGAATTGTAAGAATACCAGTTGTATTAGTCTGTTTCATGCTGCTGATAAAGACATACCTGAGGCTGGGCAATTTACAAAAGAAAGAGGTTTAATTGGACTCACAGTTTCACGTGGCTAGGGAGTCCTCAGTCATGGCAGAAGACAAGGAGGAGCGAGTCACATCTTACATGGATGGCAGCAGGCAAAAAGAGAGCTTGTGCAGGGAAACTCCCATTTTTAAAAAACCATCAGATCTCATGAGACTCATTCACTATCACAAGAACAGTGCAGGAAAGACACAACCCATAACTCGGTCACCTCCCACTGGGTTCCTCCCTTAACATATGGGAATTGTGGGAGTTACAATTCAAGATGAGATTTGGGTGGGGACACGGCCAAGCCATATCACCAGAAAAAATGGAGTGTGATAGCAACTATAATAATTAATATTTAATGCTTACTGAGTCCCAGACTTTGTTTTATATAGCCTCTTCTTTACACTGTTCTCTCCTTTAATCCTCACAGCAACCCTGTGCAGTAGATACCAGTTCCTAAGGCACAGAAAAGTTAAATAACTTGCCCACGTCAGCACATAATAAGTAGATAAAGTCAGAATTCCATTTCAGGTAGTATGCTTTCAGAATTCAATTCTTAACCCTAGTGCTACTCTTTCTCTCAATGAGTATATAAAGACCAAGAAGAAGGGATGCCGTGCTGAGGCTGGAGATATCAGCAGGGGCTATGCGTGGAGGTCTTGTAAGCCCCATGAAAAATTTCAAAAGTTATCCTAAGGGCAGTGGAAAACAGTTGAAAGATGCTAAGTGCAAATATGTGGATGTTTGCGCAGTGGGTGGGGTTTATGCTCATGTCCGTATTTGTAATTTATAAAAAACTCACTCTGGTATTGCAAGGAGAATGGATTAGAGAAGAACAAATACAGATAGATGGATATATCAGGAGGAGGTTTCTACTTACTGTATTCCCTCAGTTTGTACATTAATAAGGAGAATCTGAGTATTGATTTCTATTGCAAATGACAGAAATCCTAGCTCAAACTAGCCTAAAGAAAAAGAAAATTTAATTGACTCATATGACTGTAAAGTCCAAGGATAATGTTAGCATCAGGCAAGACTAGATTCAGAACTGAAATTGTGACACTAGAACTCAGCTTTTCTTTTTCTCTTAAATTGGGTTTGTTCTCTGGGTTGACTTCATGCTTCAATCATATATTCCCTGAGGTGTGTGTGCAGCTGGCAAAAAACCTTTTCTAGGAGCTCCTTTTAAAGTCCTGAGATCACTTTGACTAGATAAGCTTAAACCATGTGCCTGCCCCAAACCAATCCCCATACCAACAAAACGAGATGACGTTACTGGTTTACGCTTCAATGAAGCGCTTCATTCTGGAGTTTAAGTTGAATGCTTACTAAGACCACATGAACCGATAAAGAATGTGAGTAGATGCCCCAAATGCCATAAGGAGATTTTGTTATTGGGAGACAATAGGTGTTTTCTCCATGTATCCATTTTTATTGTATTTAAGAAAACAAACTGATCAGTTATGTTCAACACTTACTTTGCTTTTTACATTTTGTTACATTTAACTTTGCAGAAGTTTGAAGTTTTTGCTTATTTAAATATTCTATCTCTAATTAGATTTGTAATGGCCTTAATAGGCCTTCTCTTTGAATTCTTTACATTGTTACTAGAATACTATTCTTTTTGTTTGTTTGTTTGTTTTCTTGAGGTGGAGTCTCCCTCTGTTGCCAGGCTGGAGTGCAGTGGCGCAGTCTCGCTCACTGCAACCTCTGCCTCCCAGGTTCAAGCAATTCTCCTGCCTCAGCCTCTCAGGTAGCTGGGATTACAGTGGTGCGCCACCACGCCTGGCTACTTTTTGTATTTTTAGTAGAGATGGGGTTTCGCCATGTTGGCCAGGCTGGTCTTGAACTCCTGACCCCAGATGATCCACCTGCCTCGGCCTCCCAAAGTGCTGGGATTACAGGCATGAGCCACTGCGCCCAGCCCTAGAATAGCATTCTTTATAATTTAGTTTATGGAAGAATTTTACCAAACTTTCAAGAAACAGGTGATTCTTTTCCTGGGGGGGTTGAAAATACTTCAGAGCCCGGAAAAGATATGTAGCTCCCCTAATTATCTTATGAGATTAGCATTCCTTTAGAGACACCAACAAGATAAAATACTACCACCACCAGTATTGCAGAGCATATACCTGCATGGAGAGGGGACCAGAAGGTTGTGCACCCGGGGAGGGAATAGTGGGTCAGAGAAGGATTGAAGGAGAATTTTTTTTTTTTGTAATGTCTGTATTTCCAAGGAGAAATAGGTATTATTTTTAAATTATCAATTTTAATTTTTGTAGAAATTTCATAGGCTAGGCCATTTTGTAAGAATGAGGTTTTTACTTTATAGCATTGTCCTAAATAATTTGAAATATTTCATGTATGTATTTTAGTATTCGTAACTTTACAGTAGGGTTATGCTTAATCAACAATTGTCTGTTAGCTCCTAATTTCAAGAGTGTATAAATTCAACTCTTAAAGATTTCATGAGACAAATTTTGTATGGAAACACAGGAATCACAACTTACTCTAGTTTATAATACGTTTACCAGCTTATCAATATTGACCTAAATTTATCCCCTTTGCAAATAGGAGATAGAGACTCAAATGAAATATATGATTAAATTTTAAAGAACAGTTTTTAAGATATTTTTATCTAAAATTTTGTTTTACTCTTTTATATAATCTTTATCTTGCTTCAGCTTCTTATAGGTATTTTATTATATGGTAGAACTAGGAATTCTCTTTGTTAGACAAAGGTATGTCTATTCCTCTACATGGTTGTCTTGAAAAAAGAAAATCTTAAATATGAAAGTCTTTTCAAAACACAACAGAAGAAAACTGTCATGGTTATTTGAGTGCTTTTTCCAAATTAATCAGGAAATTGTCCATTCAGTAAAATTACAACCAAATAAAATAGGAAGAAATTGTAAGACTATTTTGCTGTTCTATTACAATGAAGTATATTAAAAGTACCCTATTTACTTACAGATTGGCCGCCTCCAAGATCTGGTAAGGAAAAGTGAACAAGGTCTTGGCTCTGCAGAAGGACTTATTGCTAGTCTTCAGGACTCCCAGGAAAGGCTTCAGAATGAGCTTGATTTGACTAAAGACAGCCTAAAGGAGACCAAGGATGCTCTATTAAATGTGGAGGTAATTTCATAATTCTACTATAATCTAAACAGCAGCAAAATAGAAATATAATTTAGCCATTTGACCTACAGCTATTTAAGCAGCACATTGTATATAATTAATGTATTAGTTCTTAGAACTACCATAACAAAATACTACAAGCTGGGGAATTTAAAACAACAGAAATTTATTCTCTCATAGCTCTGGAGGCTAGAAGTCCAAAATCAAGGTGTTGGCACAACTGTGTTCCTTCCTAAACTCTAAGGGAAGATCCATCCTTGTATTTTCCAGCTTCTGGTAGCACCAGGCATTCCTTGGCATTCGGCAGCATAATTTCCGTCTCTGCCTATCTTCACATCTTAAAAGGATACCAGTCATATTGGAACAAGGGCTCACTCTACTCCAGTTTGACATCATCTAAACTTAATACATCTGTACTGACCCTATTTCCGAATAAAGTCACATTCTGAGGTACTGGGAGGGTAGGACTTCAATATATCTTTTAGGGGACACAGTTCAACCCATAACAATTGGAATGTGCAGTTCTTTTACTGGTAAGAGTTAGAACTCTCATATACAGCAAGTAAGTGCTTCTCTGTGTCTGCAGATTTCAGAAAGACTCTGCCTTTTTTCTTCCACTCTCATGAAGCACAGCAAAGATTTAGATTTTCTTAGATAGTAGAGAAAAATAATCCATAAAACTGGGTGTGTCGTACCCGGGGAGTTTTTAATCTTTTCCTTCAGAGAGATGGTTTAGACTATAGGCGCTGAAGTCAGGTTGGTTGTATGTAAATTCTGAATCCTCCACATAGTGTGTAACTTTGGGCAAAGCCTCACCTTCCACATCTGCACAATGAAGGAGGGGTGGGGGGGTAATAACACTCTTCACAGCACTATTGTAATAATTAAATGAGATAAACCATTTACAGCACAGTGCTTAGCAAAATAGCAAACACTCAGTAAATATTGCCTTTTACTAATATTATTTCAAATTTTCTTTAGTTTAGAATTGGTGACATTTCAAAAGCATATAAACAAGGGCACTTTAGTGAAAATAATTATATTTGTATTTTATCTATGATATAATTATATTCTGTGTGCATTGAATATTTATTATCTTCCATTTTGAATTATGTGACAATAAATTACTTCATTTTCCTCAAATCTTCATTTCCTTACGTTTACCTTTCTCCAGTGGCTGTGTGATATGACAGTTTTAATATATAATAAGAAATAATTGGAATTTAAAGCTAGTATAATATACAACTTGATATATTTAATTTCTGTGATGCCAAATATATTGACTATAATCTTGATGGTAGCATTCTATGGTGTGAAACTGAACTGGATGACCGAACTATGTTAAGACGTGTTTTTTCCATTGTCAAAAAATGAAAGGAAAATGGTATTTTAAGGTCATACAAATATATTTAAAAGTAAACAGTCAAAATATTTCTAATGAATTTTAGTTGAATATAGGTTGTGTTTATATGGTATAATGGAGGTTCTCTCTTGCCTTGGTGCGCACCCAGTTCCTGACTTTAAGGTATTTTATCCTGGTTGCCTTTCCCCCTGCTGTCCTGGCACTGAGTTTTGGGCTTAGTGATTCAGTTTCATTACTTTCAGGTCTTTTTTCATATTTACATTGTACTTCTGTCCAGTAGTAGAAAATAATAAACATTTTAAGCAAAACTCTATCAGTTGTTTATTTTCTGTTCTGCTGGCCAGAATTTTAACTGAGAAAATATAGATGCTGCATCCTAGTTTACCGTGACTCTGTGTAAGCTCCGTAAGACCAAGTGTTTTTTTTTTTCTTTTTTGTACCTCTTTTCCTCTACCCCAATAATGTCTAATGATGTACTTTGCATTGAGGAAAAGAAATACTTTTTAAGCAATCTACTCCATTTAATGTTGCCTTTGGTGGAAAATACAGAAGTTACTAGAGGCAGAACACTTACTGAAAAGAACAGTTGGCTAAGATGGCTGCCTTCAGTTTTCAAAACTTACTGCTTAGTAGCCAGGTCAACAATGTAGAATGGCAATTTCAACATTGGCTTGCTTTTTTCTCATTAATCTGGGTATACCCTTCAAAAACTGCCACACCACATGTCATCAGCAAATGGGTGATCTCGAAAGGGTCATTGTGATAACAGGAAGATAGACCATCATCTGCTCCTCTTCTGCCTTGTGCCCCGAGAGCAGCTGCTCTGCTGGCAGGGGCTGATGGCTGCCACTGTTGTCCAAACAGGTCACCTCTATCCTCAGGCTCCACAGAGCCACTTGATTCATGCTAATCTACGAGAATCTTGTATATATTGCCGCATATTACCATAACACCAAACACATGAACAATTAGTTTGAAGTTACATAATAAAAACAGTAGCCTAAATTCTGCATACTTATTTTTATCGTGTCAGTTAGATACAGCTATATACTTAAGTTCTGAGCAAGTAACATACTTTCGAATATGAGTATGAGTGAATTTGAATAACATATCTGTCTGTGTAATGGGTGTACAGGTGAAGGTAATTGGATGATCAATCTACTGTTAGATACTTAATACATGTAAAGTATAATTAAGATGATTAATGCTGACTTTAAACTACTTAAATAATTTGTAATATAAGCCTTAACAAAATACAGTTTAGACAAGAACATTTAAAATATAAAATTTGTTTTACATATTTTATTTTCAGAAAATCTTGAGTCATTTTCACAGATAGCATTATCAATTATTGGGCTGTAAGTATTTAAAATTAAAAATTTTAATACAAGCTCTTACTTAAAATAATCAGCAGTGTTTGTTTTTGAAGTTTAGTCTTCACTGAAAAGTTTTTATTCTTCAGGGTGAGCTAGAACAAGAAAGGCAACAGCATGAAGAAACAATTGCTGCCATGAAAGAAGACGAGAAGCTCAAAGTGGACAAAATGGCCCGTGACTTAGAAATCAAGTGGACTGAAAATCTTAGGTACATTTTGTGTTCTGTAATCTTCGCAATAAAGACATACAAGAAAGTTTTTCTCTTGTATAACTCATATTATCCTATTGTTAAAGACATAGTAGCAGTATTTTAAATTGAAATTTCCTGTGATTAGAGACAGAGAAATTGGATTTTTTTTCTGTTCGAATTCAGATTTACTTTTTGCATTTCCTTGAATATAAAATGGGCAGAAAACTAACCTGAAATCAGAAGACTTATTTGTTCTGGTACCTATTCTGCTGTTAGTAAATTGATAAATCAGTGATATTGGGGTAAGTTACCAGTTTACTTTACAGCCCTTAAGTAAATAATCTGCTTTTACTCAGCGTCATAGACTTTTGAAGCGGATTAATTAAGCACTTAAAAAACCCGTGGACTCTATTACAGTCAGTGAGAGGAACAATTCTCTTTACAAAGTAAATGCGTTTGTTTTATTTTAGGCAAGAGTGTTCTAAACTTCGTGAAGAGTTAAGGCTTCAACATGAAGAGGATAAGAAGTCAGCAATGTCTCAACTTTTGCAGTTGAAAGAGCGAGAGAAAAACGCAGCAAGAGATTCATGGCAGAAGAAAGTAGAAGATCTCTTAAACCAGGTAATTAATAATCTGTACATGGTGAAAGTTCATTTCCCTTGACATTCTCTAGCTAGGGAAATATTGTAAAACTCTGTTAATTCACTGTATTTTGTTATTTTTCGTGGGGCAAACTTAAAATTTTTAAAAATACATAAAACCAGGAAGATGTATTTATAAACTTATACATTGTGCTAATCATTGTTATATATGCAGTGTGAATACTGAGAAGAATGTATTATGATTTTTTAGTTTAATATTTGACCTGAATATATTTAAGATTTTAAATGGAAAAGTTACCTATTTTTTGAAAGTATACCATCTTTTTTCATGTCATTAGATACTGTTTGGGCAACAGAGGGTAGAATTTATTATATGTATCGTGATTACCTAAAATCACTTATCAAAAATGAACAGCTTACTTTTCTCAATCCTGCTATCCTTCAAAATAGTTTAAGCCCCTTAGAGTATAACATAAACGAAAGGTGGTCATATTCCTAAATCTGTGTTCTTATGTTATGCTCACTTATTTCCATAACATTTGTAACTGTAATTAAAAGAATGTACACATTTTCACTCATTTACACAACTTCTAAATTTATTAATTCTTAGCATTCTTCCACAGAGTGAGTCATTAAATAGGATTAACTGCATGAATCACCAGTTGATAAGCAAGTGTAGAACTTAGACAGGAAGCAGCTCAATAATGTAGTGCCAGAAACCTACCATTATCTTTCTATTTGTGAGCATGATGAATTTCAAAATAAACAGGATAGACTTTTTGTAAGATCATTGTTACATAGCTACATACATGCAGTGTCTTTCAAGAATACTAGGGGCCTGCCAATTTGTGTTTGGTATCTCATAATAATTTATAATGTTACTCTGAAAAGAGAGAATACATGTGCATGTTTACATTTGTGTATATATGAGCTTTTGTCAGTCACTTGAAACTCAGACAAAAATAAGAACATGGAAACAGCTTTTACTAGAATTTGGATACCATATTAGCATTGCTTATGATAGACTTACTTTACATTCCTTTTAGGGACCCAGAAGGACAGATTTTGCTGAGTAGAGTGGTACTGATCCCCTATCATTAGACGAGCAGTAAGATTCTGCACCTAGAAAGATTAAATTAGTTTGATTATTTAATAAATATATATTTTTTCAACCAGAAAGTATTAAACATAGACAGTTTTTGGCTAGGTGTGCACTGTGAAGTGGCCCACCACTTCTCCTACCTATTTTCTATCAAATTGTTTTATTTGTTACTCCTTTAATCTCTTGTATTAATTTGTCAGATGTCATCCATACAGCTCTGAATTTTGTTTTCTTCTCTTTTTCCTTTGGGTGTCTATTCTGCAGTGTTCTTTCCTGAGAGGGCCTAATGCTATGCGTCTTGTGGTTCTGTATATCATAAAATAATGTATTACATATTAGCTCCAGTTTTTGCCAGCTTTACAGAATTTCTAAATCGATTTTCAAAGCAGATTAACCATAAATATCAAGATAACCAGGAATTAATGGGTTCCAAAGGTAAAACTATTCTGTGATGCTCCATGCCATCAGACCATTTCCAAGATTATAATATCTTCCCTTCTCCTGACTTCTAAATTGTTTAGGCACACGCATTGCCATGGAGAAACTGGCAAGTAGCTGTTGCACTCCAGGATTGTCTGTGCCTGAAGAAAATTAAGAAAGCAGGTGCACAAAAAGATGCCCCGTTAAAGTAAAAATGGGTATGATGCTTTCAAGGTTTCATTCTTTCTAGGCATATTAGATGACAAAAAATTATAGTCGGACCAGTGGTTCTTTTTAAATGGAATGTCATTATGGACAAAACCTTCCTTCTTGGCTCTTTGGATCTTGTTCTCTGGACTCCTTTGGATGGATTTCTAGAGCCTGTCCTCTAAAGCTTGCTCTACCACCTTCTGCTTGCCTTCCCCTGCTGCTAAGCCCTGTTCCCCATAACCTCCACCCCCAGCCCTACCCCTAGGACCCCTTCCCTGCATTCACTCCTGCTGGTCTCACTCATTTCCTTTAGCCTTTGCAAGGCCAGCAGCCTTCAGCACGTTAAGGGAAACAGACCTGGCTTGGCATTCGTGATATTAAAGGAGTAAGACTGAGGAATGGAATTAGTGTGCCTAGGGCTTAGGCAGAGGCATGTACTATGAAAAAGCATCAGAGGATGTGTGTTTTCACATATTTTAACTATTTCTGAGTGAAAACATGAGATTTTTATGCCTTAACACACCTGAATTTCATCCTATTTAGGGGAAAGAAATGAAATGTCTTTCCTATGAATCTCTTGAGAGTTAAATTAGATTTAAGCCAGCCATTGTGGCCTGCCTATCTAAAAATGAGCATTAAAAGCACAAAATTTTCATTTTACTTGAATCAGATGTTTTTCACTTCATGGAATTTTCCAAAAGCTATTATTCTCATTCTGTGCTACGATTCAGTCAATTTTGTATCTTTTAGTTTCCTTGTAATATTTCATTGTGTTCTCTCTTTCTGTCCAATGATTACACTTTAGTCCAAGGCTAATTATGCTTCTTGGGTTGATCAGTGTATACGTTTGAATTCTTTAAAGCAAAAGAACTACATTCTTATGCTTCAGCTCTATCCAAGGAAAAGTGATTATATAGAGTTTTCTGTGATCATATTTTCTATTTGTGATCTTAAAATGCCATCACATGTTCCTTTCTTTCATCTTTTTTAAGACAGATTTTATTTTGGGTCCAATATAATGATTTACTTATTGAGGCTTAAAGCATTGGACTGAGAAATTAAGGGAGATACACAGACCATTCAGACACAGAACTGTGGAATTTTACAGTTTGAGTCTGACTCTCCATTTTGTAGATGTGAACTTTGAGACAAAGTCATTTAGCTGATTATAGCCATGTATCTGACACAATGTTTACACTTCACAAATTTACAATCTAATAGGAAGATTTATATATAGGTACTTAAAATAAAAGTTACTGTGCAGTAGGTGACTTTAAAAATGATCCAAGCAGTTTATACTGAGTAATGATGTGTTGGAACTGGCTCCTACCAGCTCGTCATAGCTAATTGTGCCCCTCTTCCCAGGACTACATTCGGGGACATCATGTTGATGACTTGCAGTCACCCGTGGTGGTTGCATTTACGTCACAGCATTTATAGCATTTGTAGCAAATACTACAAATCAGGTCATTGCTTTTCAGAGAGCTGTTAAACATTTACCAAAATACCACTGGTCAGGAGTATACAGTCAAAAAACAGTGTAATATAGCCAGTGTGCTTGGGGAAGGTTTCATTGAGGAGGCCAGCTTTAGTGGGACTCATGAATAGGGCAAAGGATGAGCACAGAGGAGTGACAAAAGTACAAAGGTTTTTATTCACTTAATAAACATTTTATTAAACGTGCATATTTCCCAGGCACTACGAGGAATACAGTAATAAGAAAAACAGAGTTGGGGGCAGTTTGGATAGAGGTTATTGTGGAAAACCTTGACTTCCAAGCTTAGGAGTTTAAAAGATTACTCGGTAAACTGTGAGATTCTGTCAAAGGTTTGTGGAAAAGAGAATAACATGCTGAAAATTTTATTTTAGGAAGCTTAATATGACTTTTATATTGAAATAAGAATGAAATAGAGATATTTCAATTTAAATATCTAAATTAAAGTGTTTGGAACTGAACTCTTGAATGGACACCATGTACCACCAGCATCCTTCAACCTCAGCCAAACTGCTCTTCCTAGAACTAGCATCCGTTCACTGTTCACTGCTCAGCCGTCTTGGACTCCTGTGTTGTACACCAGACAACCTGTTCATCAGCACTCCCCACTGCTCTACCTTCAAAATAAATCTAGGACCTGCCTATTTCTCCCTAGTACCGCTACCACCATCTGATTCCAGGACACTTGTAGTTCTTTCCTGCACTGCAACTGTTACCTTGTTTCTACTCTTGCCTACCTACAGATTATTTTCTGACCAGCCAAAGTGATGCACTTAAAATATTAAGTTGGATTATGTTACTGTCCTGTTTCAAGATGTCCACTGACTTCCTACCACAATTAGAATACAGTCCATACTCATGCCATATCCTCTAGTACGCTCGTGATCTGGTCTTTGGCTGCATTGCCAACATCATCTCCTATCACTCTCTCCCTTTGTTTTTTTACAGCCATACTGGACCCTTGCAGTTCTTGGAACACACACAACAAGCTGAACCTGTCTTGGGGACTTTGCACCTACCAGTCCCTCCACATGGAACCCACTTTCTAGAGATATGCACAGCTTTTTCTTTCACTTTATTCAGTTATCTACTCAAATCTTAACTCCACAAAAAGAGCTTTCTTGACTTACTTTCTCTAAAATAGCACCATCATCTTTCATTAGCCCCCTATTCTGCTTTGTATTCCTTCAGATCATTTACTTCTACACAGTATATATTGATTCTCTCACCTATTCACATATAAGTTCCATAAGACCTGGACCTTTGTGGTGTTCACTGTGGTATCCCCAGCACCTAAAACTGTGCCTGGCACATAGTAAGCACTTGGCAGTTGTTGAATGGAGTGAACAGAATGAGGCACAGAGACCAAAGAAGTTTTCAGATACATGAAATGCAAATAATTCTGCCCAATTAGGACCTGGATTAAGTTTATCTCACAGCAGGTGCAAGAGAAACTGTAAAAGGATCAATCATCTGCTTTGGTAGAAGAGAAGAAAATGTTAAAGTTGACTTGGGTTTGAGCTAGACGAAAAGGAAATCATCATCTGAGACAAGGAAGTCAGGATGAGCTATTTATTTGGGGTGGAGTGTGGGTGGTTGGGGAGATGAGATGTAAGTTTTCTCATAGATGTATTGATTTTACAATCATAGTGTATTTTAGAATTTTTCATGCTCACTAGGAAAGAGCAATGACTCGACTAAGAAACAGCATTAAAATAAATGCTCTTGATCAAGAGCAATTGAAAAGCCAGATTCAGTAAGGTTTGTTGTAAACTGCTTTCTGATTTTTAGA